CCTAGAAAGGGTTAATAAAAGAGTGAGAGTTCCGGTTTTCCACCTTTAGAATACTCTTCTGGAGGGCCTGTTTTTTGTGGTACTAGTGTGTGTTTAGTGCCCGTTCCGGTTCGTTCCGGCCTGTTCCGGGGTGTTCCGGAGGCATTTTGGCCTAGAAAGGGTTAATAAAAGAGTGAGAGTTCCGGTTTTCCACCTTTAGAATACTCTTCTGGAGGGCCTGTTTTTTGTGGTACTAGTGTGTGTTTAGTGCCCGTTCCGGTTCGTTCCGGCCTGTTCCGGGGTGTTCCGGAGGCATTTTGGCCTAGAAAGGGTTAATAAAAGAGTGAGAGTTCCGGTTTTCCACCTTTAGAATACTCTTCTGGAGGGCCTGTTTTTTGTGGTACTAGTGTGTGTTTAGTGCCCGTTCCGGTTCGTTCCGGCCTGTTCCGGGGTGTTCCGGAGGCATTTTGGCCTAGAAAGGGTTAATAAAAGAGTGAGAGTTCCAGTTTCCCACTTCTAGAATACTGTTCTGGAGTGCTTGTAATGCATGCCACTGTTTTTTGTGGTACTATTGTGTGTTTAATGCCCGTTCCGGGCTGTTCCGGACAGTTCTTGGGTGTTCTGGAGGCATTTTGGCCTAGAAAGGTTTAATAAAAGAGTGAGAGTTCTGGTTTTCCACTTCTAGAATACTGTTCTGGAGGGCCTGTAATGCATGCCACTGTTTTTTGTGGTACTATTGTGTGTTTAGTGCCCGTTCTGGGCCGTTCCGGGCCGTTCTGGAGGCATTTTGGCCCAGAAAGGGTTAATAAAAGAGTGAGAGTTCTGGTTTTCCACTTCTAGAATATTGTTCTGGAGGGCCTGTAATGCATGCCACTGTTTTTTGCGGTACTATTGTGTGTTTAATGCCCGTTCCGGGCCGTTCCGGGCCGTTCCGACTTTTACCCTGTCCCAGCAGAAACTACTGTGTTTTGCACAGATCCCCTTCCCTTTGCTGCTTCTACCCAGCTGAACCCTGACATGTATTTCTGTTTGTTTTGTAGTTGGAGGAGCCTCTGTTATATAATTTCCTTCATCATAGGCCTGGCTATCATGTATGACGTGAGTATGCAGGCCCCCACCCAGTTCTTTTGATATATATATATATATATTAGCAGGGGTCTTGTTGTAGAAAAAGAGCTGCCGGAGCTCATTAGCATAGCTCATTAGCATAACTTATTTGCATATGCCACGCCCCCTGACATCACCGGAAGTGACAGAAGGCCACACCCCCTGACATCACCGGAAGTGTGTCAGAAGGCCCGGCTACTTACCCTCCTGCTTCATCCTCATTCCCAAACGGAATGAGGATCGAAGCAGAGGGCGGGGTAAAGAAGGGGCGGGGCTTCACCACGTGACCGCCCCACC